AGACATGTAAATACTTTGCATTACATTTTGAATCCACTACCTTAAAAGAGCTCCAATTTACAGACAGAAATGTCAAAAATGTTACAACTATCCCCGGTCTCCCCTACACCATTTTAACTAGTGGTGCAACGGATCAAAGATCTCACGGTTCAGATTGGATCACGGTTTTAAGTCACGGATCGGATCAATTTTCAGATCAGCAAAAATAGAAAAAAAGACAAAAATTCGACTCGCCATTTACTTATTTAAGTATTTTTTGCCTATTAAAAACATTCAACTGAAGACTCATTCCACACACTTATATAAAAACAAATTAAGGTGCAATATGGACATTATGGACCATGCTGGGCATCCTCTGCATCCTCTGCACACGGCCATAAACAACCAGAGGAGTCTGTTCAGTGACAGGTTGCTTCTCCCAAAGTCAAGGGCCAGCAGACTTAAAAAGTCCTTTGTCCCACACGCCATCAAACTGTTTAACTCCTCGCTGGAGGGGAGAGGGAGGGGAAACGGGGACAAAGGAGGGGGGAACAAGTAAGCTGTAGTGCCTTTTCACTGTGCAATAGTTTTTGTTAATAACCAACGGTGTAATAGACTCACAATACTTGAAATGTGCCATTCCCTTGTATTCTTATTCCTATTTATTCTATTTATCCCTTTTGTATACTCGGTATTTATATATGTGTACATATGGCATATTTCTGCTCACATTCTGCAACTTCTGTCGGTGCTGTGCTACTGGAAACTGAATTTCCTGGAGGAACCCACCCGAGGGTTAAATAAAGTTTAATCTAATCTAATGTAATCTATAGGGCAGTGCAGGGCTTTGTATCTACCACTCCGCTGTGATATAATGAGCGGTCACGGTCACATGGCTTTCCGTTGCCCTGGAGGTCCACCCATTTGTAGTTAGGGCAACAGAAGATGCCTGGGACAGTTCAGCCATAACTTTTAAAAACAAGCAGATGAGATGTTAGAACGCCTTTATTTTTATTTTAGTACAATAGACAGCTGCTGGGGTTTGGAGTTTGTTTAACCTGAGTAGCGAAAAGACCGTGGGGGGGTTGAAAACAATGTGCCGGGAGTCCGCTGTTCTCGCCGGCTCTAGTGATCCTCGACCTTGCTGTCTGCTATGGAGCTGGCGGGTCACAGACGTCTCCGAAAACGTCAGAGCGCGTTTGGAAATATATGATATCTTGATAAATCGAGCAGATATTTGAAGTTTACACAACTACATTCTCGCTTGAAAATAACTTAAAAGTTTATTTTGTGACCCAGAAAGAGTAATATTTAAAAGTTTTCAGCCCCGCTCGTCCACCACTGCCGCGTTTGAGTTTTGGACGAAATGCATTCTGGGATATTTAGCTGTACCAAGTCCACACAAGTCACCACCAATGCATGCTCGATAAAACAGGCGGAGTGAGAACACATCCAGAACTTTTTCGCGTTCTCGGCTTGATGTGTACTTTGAATTGGAACAGTACTTGGTCTCCGACTGATGACGTATCATGAGTACGCAAGTACGCACAAGTACGCATATTAAGACAGGGCCTATACTTCTCCTGCTCATACATGCTTGGAATGATCTTGTCACACTGAAGTGGACGCGCAACGAGATATCATAGCGTGGCTCAAGCACGTTCATCACAGTTTAAACCCCTTGTTTTGCACAACGGAATACGGCCTCCTGTCTGCAACTAAACACCCCAATGGCTTTTGTAATAGCTTTAGCCCGGTCGGATTGGGCAGCAAAGGGCTGCTTAAATGCCGCAAACTCCTCTGCTCCGCCACTTGGACCACTAGCGCTGGCCATAACTATCACTTGACAGACCCACCACGCACACCATACACATACTTTTTTTTTTCTTTTTCGAATCTTCGGACCGAACCGTGGAGTGGGATTGGTTCGGATTTCGGATCAACCGTGATCCGTTGCACCACTAATTTTAACTGCTTGTTAATGTGAATATATCTGTTCAGCCAATGCTTGGCAGTAACTCACTGTATTTAAACATGTACACAGGGTTAAAGTGACCCCTGTTAACTAACTTGAAACTGGGGCTACAGTTCACAAAGAATCACAAATGTTGAACAACTGAAGATTGGAAAAAACATTTCCTGGTTTGTGTATCTTAATTTGTGCTGCAACATTCAGATAGTGGGGTCAGAAAAGTGGAAACACACTGATTCATCCTGCCTTATAGCAACATCTGACATTATAGGCTGATGGTGATTTAGTGATTTGGGTGATATTGTCCCACACTTTGGGTCCCTTAGTACCAATTTAGCATTGTTTAAATGTCACAGCATACGTGACTTTTTGTTGCTAATGCTTATGAGCACTACTTCTAATAGTAGTTTCCAGGAGGCTATCATGCACACTCCTTCACAGTCAACAATTCTCAGTCTATTAGAGAACCTTTGGGAGGTTTTGGAGCAGCTGATTCATATCATGATGTGCATCTGACAAATCTGCAGCTACTGTGTGATGTTAGCACGCATTTATGCAATAGATTGTCCAACTCAGTACTAGAAAGATGCAACCAGTGAAGTGGCTATGATTGTAAGTAGCTTTCTGAACAGAATACAGAAGCAAGATTTCTGATTTGAAATGTAAGGTTTTTGTTTTTTGTTGGAAAAGAAGTTCTTGATTTCATAAAGAAGAATTAAAGCCACTGAGGGCCAGCACTGAACTGATTAAATTAAACTAGCTAGCTACTCTTAATTTCTGTTCACTGTCTGAATAATTAATTTTAATATTACACA